ACATGATTTCTATTGGTTTTCTTTGAAAAGATCACCTATATCAGTGCGAGTATAATCGGAAAAGTAAGGTGGTAAGTAAAATCAACAAGTTTTGTTTTATATTATAGATAATCAAGTCGTTTAGCGATGGAAATTATTTTTGGTATCAATTCGTAACCTCTCAATCTTGAGATAGTTTTGTTTGCTGTCTTAGGCGGCGGTGGCCCGGTGGTAACGTCACAAATTATCACCCTGGAGGACGTGTTCGAATCCTACCACTATCGCCTGACTTTCCCTGATTCGGTTGTTTGGAAACCTTTGTTTGGCCGCTTCTCCCTACTGAAAACTGTATCTATGAATGTTCAATAAAAGGAAGTAGGTAAGAAAGAACAGAGAAAAGTCACCAACACTCAGGTGGTTATTAAATTGAAGTCTATAAACACACAGAGCAAGTTTAAATCTGTTTGCAACTGAAGGTAACTTCTCGGATGTAGCTGTTCATGCATTACACGGGAACCAGTCAGGGCTGGAAAACGGAATAGTTGGCACCAACAGAAAATGCACGCACNCATGCGCCAAATGCTAATCGTAATGAAGGATGTCCGTCGGACGTGGTTCTAAGCCACCATCATCACATTACAACGAAATACAGTGCAGACAGTGTCAACACGAATGTGCACGGTGAATCCGACTTGAGCTTGAATGAGGGAAACAAAAATAAACTACTACGATCATGACAGACTATACAATCTAAACGTTATAAGTCTCCTAAAGTACTTTGATATAGATAACAAAGACAACGAGAAAGCGGCTGTTTGTCACGTCCTTCAGTTTCCATTCAACCGATTATTTGTGATCTGCTTGATCTCGGTCAGTAAGTCATGAAACGTCTACTGTGAAGAGTGTTCCATATACATAGGAAATAAATCATACCAGAATTCATATTTTTCCAATCTGTCTAACATTCCAGCAAAACAAGAAGACACATGTGGGCATATATTGTTGAACATTCGTTGTCATGTGACTCGTGAGGCTACCCAGATGAATTGGATAAAGGGAAAAGGATGTTTTACACGTCTAACATTTATTCTATGATTTTCCAATGGCGTAGTTGTTGATTGATTTGACTGACTGCCCTTCGGTTTTCACCTTCACGCACAAACCTCAGTTCATCGATTCAACCATACACTCGGAAACACCAGACTCGAGTTTCGTTCTTATTAGAGCTCATCAGTAGTGTGTATCCACCATCCCATCCTGGATTTGAACTCCGGACCCAGCGCATGGAAGGTGTGTTACTACTGTGCCAACCAGTAAATGTCATGGCTGAACCAAATTTTCAATTCATTTTTGTTCAGGTGTTGTCTTTTTGGTATGCGATTCCAAGTACCGTGATTTATGCTGCCTAGCACCTTTGTTTACTTCATTTCATGCATTATGGCATCTGCATTTTTATTGTTTTCCGACCTCAAACAATGGACATTTCTCAATTGTCACACGACATGCATTTATATTGACTGTTCATCTAGTCCACGCTACGCGCAAATCATGATATCGCGCTACCCCGCATTTCCGTATGATAACCGTTCACCCTGCTAGTCCACTTCGTTCATGGTCCCATCGTGTTAGACCGCATGATTAAGCCAATCTGTGCTGACCAATGACCGAATTACTGTGATTTATATGCGGTATCTCTTAAATATCGCTATTATTAAACGTTCATTGCATTCCTTCTGACGATCGCCCCTGGAACGTTTCGCGATTTACTCGTACATCCCAAACCGGATTCCATTTAAATTTGAGGTATGTTACACTATTCTTTCCTTCGAGTAAAAGTATACGAACTAAATTTTGTCTGATCGAATTAAACCACGAGCGCGCACCTGCAACTCAACCGTTGGACAGAGGTTCGATAAGCCTACTGTACCCGATCTCAGCGTGCGTTTTCGTACCGCATCTGTGCATCATATATTCATTGCTGAATGATTTTTCCAGTACCCGGACAAGCAAATGTAAACAGAGAGTCCAGTGAAAATTTCCTGGAAATGAGAAATACGTGATCTAACTGGCACAGCCAATTGATCAGAATCTGTGGCGACAAAGATATGTCTGTCGAGACACTTCTTGACACACCTGGGATTTGCTAAACCGCTCACTCCATCGCACGGTGTGTCACTCACCACCACTGAAATAGTTATGCAATATTATGGAGTATTGCATGCTGATTTTGATATTCAAATAGCCCTAATCCATCAAATCCGTAGAAAATAAAACCGATCTGCACCAAAACCTTAATCACTGCAAAAGCGGAACAGGCCACTGTATCTATTGGATGCTATCATTCAGTCAAAAATGGACTTTGCGAACACGTCCCCCAAAACCAAGCCGTACACCCCATTGTTTGACCCGCTCGTTCTACGGAACATGAGCCTAGTTACAGACTACTCCCAGGGAAATGCGCTGCACCAAATTACTTGTTATCTTATTTCACTGTCTCATAAACTGTCGACATTGTTACTGAACTTATTTCAAACGAAAGTGTCCGTGACATACCCGTCGTTTCGAGTAGGGAATACAGAACATAGCCACTGTCTATCACACTAATCAATTTGAAAATAACCAGGTGCGTTCTGAAAGTGGCTATGTCCGAAAGCGTTCACTGAACGAACGAAACGATCGAAGTTCAGCCATTCCCTCGGCCGATTAATCTGCGCATTACATAAGCTTTCCTCGTCATGCCCTATTATCATGATGTTGGTGAATGCTGAATAAACAGAAAAAAATGGTACATCGTAGATATTGGTCGCATTGTTTATATGCGAACAGATCGAAGGGAATTATTGCCTCTCGTCAAGGTTGATATAAGTGTACTGTGAGGGCTACAGGCCATTTTACGTCTATTATGACACTGTACAACGGAATACCGAAAATAAGACCCCATAGATAGGAAATCACACTGATTTCATCCTATATGTGCACGCATAGATGATCCAAGTTGAAAACCTCCGTTAATGTGCTCTGAGTTTCCTTATTTCGATAATCTTTGGCTGCTGCATGATGGTTGATAAGAAACTGTCAACCTGGTCGATTCAGAATCTCACGAAAACCGAGCACAGAATAGAAACCAACAATGAGAATACACCGTACGTTTGAGTGTTCACGCTCCAGAAAAATCAGTATGGTGGAGGATGGGTGCTTTTGGTTGCGGCTGGTTACTCCTCCCTTAAACCTCTCGAAATGCTCACATACCATCAACCGTCTCGAATAGTCCTTCTGAGGAAGCTCTCCTCACTGCCCTTCCATGGCAGAAGTGTTTTCTCATCCATGTGAGGACGAAAAGTCAATATCCGGGTCGGTGAACCACACACTGCTGCAACAGAAACTTCAGCGCTGATCTTGCACTGGTGAAGAACTGCAGTTATGTTGTCGAAATTTCGTTCACTTGTGATATGACATCACTTTCCCTTGAATTCATACCCGGCATATGCTTTTAACAATCTTTAATTGGGTATAACAGACTTGAGCGTAATATCGTACGCACACTCATTGACTCGCCTGTCATCGTTCAAACTATGTTGTAGCCGACCAACCCGATATCTGTAACATTATCGTCTTGTATGTGCAACAAACCGACTCAGTTCAGTTTCAATTTGAACAATCATTACCCATACACTTTTTTTCGCCGGTTTTGGTTGCTGACTTTGGCTGCTCATTTGGATGAATATGAGGAGAAAGACAGGAAGGTTGAAAGTGGAATCGAAGAAGAGATTGGGAATTTCAGTGAACTAATGTTGCAAAGAAATTGAGAGGATGCACAGCCCGATGAGCTTTACCAGGAGGAAATCTCTTCACCAGCAGGTTTTTCCATCTTATCCAGGGGTATATTCTAAGAACTCTATAACTAGAAGATTTTTCAAAGGATTAAGTAAAAAATAGATCCCCGGGAAATACCAGAGGCACACATTTGAAAACCAGTTGATTCTGTAACGTTAGGACTACAACAACAAAAAACAACGCGGAAGATTACCAAAGGTTTGTATGATCAGTACCATCGCGTTTTTTTAGCTTTTTTCACGTTGATGAATTTCATCAGAGGCGATGAGATGACGTCACAATACGCGAAACTCACATAGCCTCCCATAGAGATCCCATGCAGGCCAAGTGGTCCGTAGCCATTTTGTTCGCACCAACGCAACAGAGTATTGCATTCGGCAATTAAAGCGCCGCCCATCACGAACAAATCGGACACGTAGTTCAGGCTGGATCCACTGAAATCGAGTCGAGCAAAATAGAATAGGTCGTTTAAAAGAATGGAATATTCCTGAGACTCGAGGAGCACGATACACCCAGAAATCCTAAGGGAGATTGCTTGCTTACTCAGAAGAACTATCCGCTTAGAAATTACCGATGGTATCATAACGACATCAAAAATGGCACCACCACTGATGTTAAAGAATTACAATACACTTGCCAACCTTAGAGAAACTGAACAGATTTTCTGAAATATTCATCGTGGGATGACAAATCGGTGATGAAGATGTTTAATGCAGTGAGTATTACACATTGTGAAAGAGCTTCGCGAACCTCGGCGAAAATGTACAGTAAACGAACAAAAACAACCGGTTCTAGTTGAAGTTAGGAAGCCACAAGATCTGAATGGATTGATTACCTAATCATAATCTACAAACTCGAATCCATAAGTGGATAACAGAGTAAAGAATCACTGAACAGCAGGTCTTCGTGACTGCTGTTCATCGCATACTGGTGTGTAATCAAAAAATACAAGAACTTAAGAATCATTCAAGTCAGAAAAAGCAATACAAGCAAAGTTATTAAAACCCGACAAATTCACCAAATTCCCCGAACTTCCCAATTCAGTGGTCGTGAGAACGAGAGTTAACAAACAAGTCTCTTTACCGTAGTACATCAGCCGGTTAAAAACAACACAATTTACAGCACATGGAACAGGTGGCAAGAGGAGACGAACCATTGCGAAAGAAGTCAGAGTTTAAAATGAGACGATGTAATTGTGATAATTGATATCCTTGTTTATGTGGCCTTTGGATAGAGGAGGATGGTCGTGAAAAGGTAAGTGGTGAATGAATAAGTGTTTATGAACCGAGAGTATGTCACTAAATTGTAATTGGATGGTCATGGCAAGACCAGTGTTCTTACATTTTTTTCTAGACCCAATCCTCGTCCCTTGCCCTTTCTTCTGACCCACATCCCATCGTACTTAGCTTTAAGGCTGAGGCCTCGCTGATACATTGGATACCTGTCAACAGTCGTTCGTGTGTAATGAGGCTTCCGGGTTCAGTTACTGTTCAGAAGGGAAGCAACACTAAAAGGTGTTCGTTCATCATTTCCGCGTATGCACCAACCAACTGCAGTCCCACTTCACAAAAGGACGAATTTTACAACAGGCTTATTAAACTTATCCGATTGAGCCGTAGCCCTGATGATATAGGTGATTTTAACGCGCAGGTTCGAAAACTGAGCGCATCCGAAGCCTGTTTAGGGAGGCACTTCGCATTTTCCCGCCCACCGAACAGACAACGGTGATCAACTACTTCAGTTCTGCGCAGATCACCCGCTGTACTTATCTAGCATCAACTTTCGACACAGCTCTCGTCGGACGGCAACATGGTGTTCTTGTTCAGCCGGTAAGTCGATCCAGCTTGACCACATAGCTGTAAGCTACCGTTGGTGTGGTTTAGTACAAATTGCAGATCCTACTAGACTACCTGTGTTCAGTCTGATCTCGCACTAGTTCTGAGGCGCTTCACGCTTCGATTTAGTGATCATCGTCAAAAATCATCCCCTCAGTTAGCTTATTACCGTCGGCGCGATTCTTATGCTAGCGCACGTTGTGAGGATAAGAAGCTTGGAGCACCGCGAGGTGTTAGAGTACAACGACAGTGGTATCAAATTAGACTTGCGATGCATTCCGCTGCAAACTTTGTTTTTGGGGTCGAACCCAAAGTTCATTGAACACACTAGATCTGTCAGGAATCAGTGATCTTGGTGGAACAAAAGCGGAGAATCCCGATCTGCCAGGATCAACATAGGAACCGGTGGCGTTTGCAACTTAGCCTCACGAGAAAGCCTTAAGGAAGATTGCGGAAACTGGTGGGCCAAAATAGTCAGTGAAATGGAGGTAGCTTCTGCATCAGGGGATGATAAAGACTTTTTCACCTGATACGCAGTACCGGAGGTGGTTACATACCGGTCAGTGAGACCATTTGTGATAAACGCGGACAGATTATCCACAACAAAGATGAACGACTTGATCAATTGGCAGAGTATTTTAGTGAACAGTTCAATTGGCCTGATGCTAATGCGGTTATTTCTACAATCGCAGCGAAATCTCCGTGGGTGGCAACATGTGAGCCCCCATCGGAATTAGATGGACGAAGCTGTATTCAATCAAGAGGGGAATGGAAGGTGGGGCGACCTGATGGGATTCTCCCCATTCTTTTCAAAGTGGGTGGTGACTCCCGTCGACTCAATTACTAGCTTACTTCGCATCTGGTCGGTGGATCGTATACCTTTATCCTGGGGTGAACCGTTAAACGTGACGGTCTTCAAGGGATCACACAACGACTGAGCAAATCACCGCGGCATTAGTTTAGATCCGATCATCACAAGTGTTAAGTTCTGTGATACTTCGCCGCCTGACACTCTTAAGGGAGATGAATATTCGTGAACAGCAAGCAGCATTCCGGCCAAGCCTATTTCACCATTCCTGTTCTACTTCGTCGTAGATGGTATATTGGAGAACGCACGAAGTGGTCTCCCAAATCTTGTTACTGAATGGGCTAGTGGAATAAAGCTATGCGATTCAGACTACGCCAATTGTCTGTTCGAACGTATGGAGGATGAGCAAAGCGCTCTACGGGCTCTGTAACTCCGTTTGATATACGTTTAGCACCTTCAGTCTTCTTCTTAAGCGTTTCATCAGTGTCGTTTATTCGTGGTTTTCCAGTAATCCCTTTCAAACTCATAATGCATAAAACGTAAATGAGAATGTTCAAGGTGGATAGGGATTGAGCCTACTTTTTTACGAGGAAAGAAAGACAACATATAGAGGTAAAATATAGAATACACAGCTCGAATGTACGTATAGTTTTTTAAGCATTTTGGTCTGATACGAAGTGACAACAGGAACACCACATAGATCGTGGAATATTGCGGTTTTTTTCTTGGGAAATTGTCCTCGGGAAAGGCTTCCTTCAGTTTACTGCTATGTGGACAACTTGAGCCAACTTATCAGTTTACAGGGGGATAGTTGATGAATAACTGCTGAACTGAGGGTTCTGAGAAATTTGAGGAAACCTTGGGTTCCGGTGTACTCTTCTCTCGTCCGACGGAACTGACGGAGAAAAATAACGATTTAGTCGAGGACTGACGGGTGCAGCAATTTGGTCCCCTGGGACGTGGATATCACCGAGTACTCCAGGTGTCATATGCAATTAACCTGACAGTTGGAGACCGGAGTAATTAGTCACTATATGGTCACCGACGCAGTTAAAGGGTACCGGCGAAGGGAGGCAGTTTCGTTTGACTGCAGTGCTGATCGCACAGAGAAAGTTCGTCGACTTCCATGGGAATGATTACAGCTCAATGCTGACCCCAAGAAATCAAGACCGAGGATGGAAACTGTACACTAATTATCTTATAAGGGATGTCTAAAAGATTCATAATGATTAATTTCGTATCTTACGGAAGCTTGAATGAGTGCAGGAAATACGAAACAGCTGGGTTAAAGCCATTATTACGGTATTGGTAGAAGGTAATAATCACCAATGATGTTGAGTGGCAGCTTTACTTGGTAAACAACTGTCGCAACTACATGTGCCTATGAGGGCCTTTAGGAGTACTTCGTTGATGAGACACTGTAGAGCCGATTGAATGTGGCATTAAGGGACGATAAGGTCTGAATCAAAGTGGACACTGCGGTTGCTATTCAGTTGGGATCGGCAAACCTTGAAATGGCCTGCTTTCCCCCAAAGGGAAGCAGATTGCCTACCGAGCCGAGCACTTGGAATACGCTTAACAAAACTGCCGGTAAAAGCGGCAATTGCTAGCTGTGGTTACGAACACTAAGGGAACTGTGGGCTGTAGACATTTTCCGGAGGGTGATAAGAAAAGTTTCTACCAGCCTAGATGAAGCACCAAACGGCCATTAGGTAGCCGAATCATACATGAAGAGCCGCTATTGGGCATGAACCAACATACGAGGTTCAGCGAAAGTTCCCACGTTTACTTTCCAGAAAGACATGAACGAATGTTATTAGAGAGCAGCTGTCTGATGAAAGCGTATCTGATAGCCTTGTAAGGCAGAAACAGCAATAAGGTTGTGGCTTTAATCGGACAACGTAGAATTCGGTCAACTGACTGTCATCATCACCATCATTGTACAGCGTAATACAGTGAAGCGAACTTCACTGATCGCTGCCAAACTCATATTGCATACAACATAAGTGAGTATATGTAAGGAGGATAGGGATTGGACTTACTTGTGGGGACGGGAAAAAAGTGAATCTCTGATCATCACACAGACTACACAGTCCAACTGTGCATACATACTATTTCATGCATCCTGGTCTGATNCTGGTCTGATAAGAAGTCACAGGAAGATCGTCATTGATGCCGGTTTGTAGCCATAACCTTCAGTGTCTCCAACCATGCGGTCACAGGGTCTTTTAGACCCCAACCCGGAAGACGAGAAACACCTATACTACCTAAGCGCTTTATGCATTTCTTCATGCCTCGTCTCCACGTCATCTGCTGGTTATGTGGCTTTCTCCAGCCTGCAACAGCCACTGCGAATAAGGCGCGCTGCGGTAGGCGTCTGTCAGACATACGCAAGACATGCTTATCAGTCGGAACAATCAGTAACTATTCCCTGATGCAGCTACGACTTCCATTTCATTAAATGTTGTTGCCTACCAGTTCTCACGGTCATTCTTGAGGCTCCTCGTGAGCCAACCTTGCAGATGCCACCTACCCATGCCTTGATCCCGGGCGGTCGGGATTTGCAGCTTTCTCTACATCAGTGCTACAGACTCGTCAGATATCCAAGGCCTCGGACGGGTTGCCGCTTCAGATTTACAGGCAACCCTCGCTGTGGAGTGCATGGCTTGCCCAATCTGATCCCATTGTTCATCTACACTGCCACGCTGCAGCGCGTCTAGCTCTTGCGCTAGTTCTGATTCAAAATGGGCATGAACGGCTGGGTAAAAAAATGATGATCTGTCAATCGAGTNGTTTGATGAGTTCTTTTGTGACCGGTGAGTTGGAAAGGGAGCAGCATCAAAAACTAATGCGTGATCAGATTCAACTGAATGGGCAGTTTCTTGCTGTTTTAGCCAACTAGTGACGGGAAAACACTTCAATTGTTGAGTCAACGGTTTTCTTCTAGGGTTACGGTCATCGATCACACCGATAGATGAATACGGGAACGACGTTTACAAGAAGTTTCTTGTTATGAAGATCAAGCACATCAATGATATAAAGAAAGCTTGTGAACAGCTTTTTGACAACCATCATGCAATAACATCATAGAAATGCAGTTTCCTCCCTAGGTGGGATTTACCGTTGGTCTTTTGGTTTCCGCTTCCAATAAAACGGATTCATGACTATTATTGACCCGATACCATCTTCTAACAGTTNNAATAAGTCTGTAATGGAATAAGCCAGAACCTTTAGAAATTCTGGACTATATGAACACTTACGTGGTCGCCAGTACCTGCAAAGTGTATGCAGATTGGTTTATACTGGGTTTTCCACTTTTTCGGCAAAACCACTTGGAATCTATGAAACACAAAAAATATACTTGATTACTTTACTTACCGAGCTACGCGGTTTTCCGGCTCCAAAATTCCCGGCAAAGTGCGTTCAAAAGGACTTACGAAAGATCCTTCTAAAATAATGGCACTTCTGTGTTCCGTACGCTGAAATCGAAGTACAAACTAGACTCTGAAAAGAACTAAAGCTTACCTTTTCCATCACAATTGGTACCATTTGACTAACCACGCTACAAAATCGGTCTCGATTGGAAACCAAATGGATATTTTCAATTAACCTGGAAACTGATTGTCAAAACTGTATTTTACCTCAACAGGGTATCAGGCTTCCCCCAACCGCGAGCGAAGAATTTCATTGGCAGCGCACTACGATATATCTTGTCGAATGCACTCATGACGGCGAGCAGTTAAAACGATCTATAGGAAAACGGCCGCATTGGCCAATCTAAACAACAATGGACGTCCCGCGGAAAGATGGCTACAAAAGAAGAAATGGGGATCAGGTGGTTTAGGTTATCAGTAACGTTTCCAATCCAAACCAAGCTACACCAATGGGATGGAATGGCGACAGTCCTGAACTGTATTAGAAGACATGATTATGGACATAGCTAATTGCGGCCACACTCAATCAAAATAAGAATATTCGCGATTAGAGCACAAGATGAATTGAACACAATAATGGTACCTAAGTGAAAACAGCCCTCATTTCTATCGAGCTTAATATATAATAATATATAATGTGCATAACGTGGATAAAGTTATATACATCACTTATAAAATTACAGGACTATCGCATGCCAGAGAATGGGTTCGCATCCTACACATTTCAGATGACACCTTTGCATGGTCGAGGGCTGGTGGTGAGTTCGGTTGGTTGTGCAGTTGTTTCGCGCTAACAAAAACCATCGGCGGGAACTAAGGGAAGATGAACGTTGCCAGCGGCGGAACGCCGATTTCCCTTTACGAATAGTGCGACAACAGGAGTGGTTGAACCATTCTGGAGAAAGAGGCTTGTCGGGTTTAGTGAAACGAGGAGTAAATACGCGCATGCCTTGCAAAAGAACTTTAGAGAAATTCGAAGTGGAGATGGAGACATCGGCGGAAAAGCAACATTCATTCCAGGGGTAGGAAGCCAGAAAGTTACGAAAGCTGCACCAATCAGCGAAACCATATCGCCAGAATATGCGTCTAGAATTGGGAGGAGC